CCTTTTGGGGGGGGGGGGGGAGTGACCTAAAGAGTTTAATTAGGGTTACTAACAGGTGAAGGGTTATTTACAAGAGCCTGGGCAACTTACCAATGGCTATACCACTGAAGAAAATGTCTCACCACCAGCAAACATTAACTGCTTCTAGATCCTCAAGGGACTGTGTGGCATCATGAACTATCTGGGGAACATAGAATGCCCTATCTCTTAACTTCACACTAAAATGTGAAAATCATCTTAAAATCTGAAGCTTTCCCATAATATAATACACTCACGAATGTATGTGTGTGTGAGTGTGTGTGTGTGTGTGTTGATAAGGATTCAATCCCGGGCTTTGTGAATGCTGGGTAAGCACTGTAACATTGAACTATATCCCTAGCCCCACCCCAAGTCATATCAATATATATAAAAGTAAACATATTCTGTTTTGATGGGAAATAATCAAAGGCTTTAGAAGAACAAAAATAAATCTGAGCTGATAAAGCAACAATAGAAAGCTAGTAATACTAGTTTCAGGAAGAAACACACATTCATTAGTCTCTGCTACACAACTAGGAAGGCCACCTGAGAACAGACCTTAATAAAATCTCAGTATTGCCCCAGGCCCTGCCTGATGGGTTCATGAGTCTTGGCGAACACTGGTTACCAGACATTTCTCGGGCAAGGTACTCCACTGAAGGTCAGACTGGTATGGCAGCACACTCAGGAGGCAGAAGCAAGTGGATCTCTGTGAGTTCAAGGCAAACCTGGTCTACATGGTTAGGTGAGTTCCAGACCAGCCATGGCTATATAGTAAGACCCTGTCCCCAAGAAGATGAGGTAAAGTATTACCATGAGTTCAATGCAAGTATACTCTACATAGCTGAGTTCCAGGCCAGCCTGGGCAACAATGACAGTCTATCTCAAAGAGCAGCAAGAGGGGCTGGAGAGATGGCTCAATGGTTAGGAGCATTTGCTGCTCTTGTAGAAGACCTGGGTTTGATTCCCAGTACTGATATGGCTACTCACCCATATGGCAACAAGTCTGGGATTTATTTTTTGTTTTACTTTTTAGGTAGGTTGTTCTTTTTGGAGGGGCATGGGGGGTTGTTTATACTTTTGAAACAGGGTCTCCCTATAACCCCAGCTGGCCTAGAACTCAATAATGTAGACCAGGTTGGCCTCAAGCAGGCTGGCCTTGAACTCACAGAGATCTGCTTGCCTCTGCCTCCCAAGTGCTGGGATTAAAGGAGTACACCACAACGCCCAGCCAGTCTAGGACTATTTGACTTTACAAGAAAACAGTAACTTCTTGACTGACCCTCATATTGCTTCCAGTTACCCTCTCCTCAGGAGGTCCTTTTTGATCCTACCTGAAGCACAGCATTCGCATAGTCGTTGGCTTTTATGTTATTCAGTCCCACGATCCCTGGCAAGTAAGTGGTACCATCATATGCCCGCGACAATTTGGCTTGCTTGTCCAAGTTTGCAATTTGCTGCTTTGTGAAAGTAGGCTTCAACACATACTGCAGAGCAAAAGAAAATTCTAAATTGTTGTAAAGCTATAAAGAGTTCAAAAGTCCAGAATAACAATTTCTACCAAAAAAAGAAAAGCCCTACCATGCATTCAGAAAGGCCCCCAACCACTGGCATTAAGACCATACTGAGAGGATAAGTCCTCGACCCTGCTACAGGAGAGTTCTCTGTCTAACCCTCAATCACCAAATTTCAAGTCTGTCTTTAGCCCTTAGGCCTGATCAATTCCAAGACCACGATCGATAACTGCCAGAACACTACAGGACCCTTGGGATTCTGAAGGCAGCAGAATTGCACATGCATGTAGCTCAAGAGTGGAGCATCTCCTCCCCTGGGCAGGACTGGGAGGCGCAGGATGGAGTCTTCCCAGTCACAGACTGAAGAGGGGTCATCATGAACTTACTTTGAAGCCTTGAATTTATCCCACTTTCTCTGTCTCCCCAGATTCTTGCTCGACCTCACATGGGACACTTCACAAGGACTGTTGGAATGGTTCACAAACAATGTACCCCACAGCCAGGTGTGGTGGCACATGCCTTTAACCTGAGCAGAGGCAGAGGCAGGTGAATCTCTGTGAGCTCAAGGCCAGCCTGGTCTACATAGTGAGTTCCAGGACAGCTGGGGCTACAGGGAGAGCCTATCTCAAAAAGACCAAAAAAAAAAAAACCCCAAAAAAAACCAATGTACCCCAAACCAGCCTGCTGGGACACACACCGTGATATCCTCCAACGAGGAGTCGATGATCTCATAGTTGTCTGGAAGGCAGTAAAACTTGAGGGTGTGGAGGTTGAGGAAGACATGGTGGCTGAACTGGACACTGTGAATATAGGCATGAGACTTTAAGCCCCGACCTGTAGAGAAGGGTGAAGGGCTGTCAGAGAAAGGTCTAGAAAGGCACAGATCAGGTTGCTCTTCCTTTCATTATTTTGTACTAGAACATGTTAAAAGCAAAAACAAAGAACTATGCCATCCATGAAATCAATCTGTCACATAAAATTCTCTCATCACAAAGTGAGATCAAGAAAGAAGAGCACATTGGTTAACTGCATTTGATACATGACATTAAGAGATTGGCTAGGGAAACTAATTCCCATATAAAAATATACACACAAACTAATTTTGTATGCATCAGAAAGTAGGAGTATGTTTGAATACATTATTTGACTTGTACATATACATGTGAAGATACACAAATGTGCATACCCCATGCCAGCCACTATCACTCAGTCCTCAGATTCCCATCTGCACACATTCAGGATAACCCTGCATCTTCGTGCTTTGTTCATACTACTCTTATTGTATTCTTTTCAATACTAATGTGAGCCCAAGGCGTGTGCACACTAGGCAAACACTCTATTTTTGGGCTACACTCCAACCCCTTTGATTTTATTTTGAGAGAGTCTTGCTAAGTTGTGGAGGCTGTGTCTCAAATTTTCCATCTTCCTATCTTCCCACCTCAGCTTTCAGAGTAGCCAGGATTACAGCGACTCAATTCTTTAGTATCTCTCTCCGTCAACCCATTTGAGTCCTTTATGTCCTGGTAGTTCACATCCCACCACAGTTCCTTCATGAACTGAACACAAACATTCAAGCAAGCATTAACCTATTGGGGGTGGGGGGTCAGTGGGAGAGCAAAATGAATGAGAACAAAATAACAGACACATGAAAATGCCATATGAAGCCCATTACTTTGCATACAAACCTAAAAAACAAATAAATAAAAGCCAGGTATATACACTTGTGATCCCAGCGTTACAAATAGGCAGGAGGATCAAGAGTTCAAAGCCAGCCTGGGCTACATGAGACCCTGACTCAAAAAACTTAGGCAAGGCATGGTGACACATGCCTATAATCACAGCATTCAGGAGGCAAAGACAGCAGAAATGCTAAAGTCCAGACAACCTGGTCGACATATCGAGTTCCAGGCCAATCAGTGCCACACAGTAAGATCCTGTCTCAAAATACCAAAGGGGGAGAAAAACCAAGATTTTTTTTCATATTTCAGCACCTTTGTCCTCATTTTTTTTCACTGCTATACAGCCTAGCAGAAATCTTTATGGTCTTGTGGAATTTCCTGATTTTTTGTTTCATGTATCAAACTTGACTTTATATAAACTTCTTTTTAAAAATATTTTATTATTGTTATTTTATGTGTATGTGTGTATTGCCTGCATGTAGGTTAAGTACACCCATGTTTTTCAATGTCCATGGAGGACAGAAGAGGCTGTCGAATCCCCTGGAACTGGAGTTATGGACAGTTGTTAGCTGTCATGTGGGTGCTGGGATTTGAACCTGGGTCTTCTGCAAGAACAGCCAGTATTCTTAACTGCTGAGCCAACTCTCCAGCCCCCTATAAACTTCTTATACAAGAATGTAGTTTCTCTTTTTTAATTCCACAGTATACTATGTATTTACAAAGTACTTCCTTGGTCTAAATGAGTTTAAAAAATACATTTTCAGCAAACAACTGAATAAGCAGTTTTCAGAGATGGTGGTAGAGGACACCTGTAATCCTAGCACTAAAGACCTGAGACAGGAGACTACAGGAGACTCTCAAGGTCAAGGCAAGCCTGGCTACAAATTTAGACCTGGTCTCAAAAAGACAAACACAGAAATACAGAAAACATTAGATTTAGAATCCTGGGTCTATAGCTCAGTGGTAGAACTCTTGCAAGGCTCCAGTTCAGTCTCCAGTACCACTAAAATTAATTATTTAATATTAATTAGGCAGGTGTTATGGCACAAACCTTTAATCCCAGCACTCCAGAGGCAGAGGCAAGCGGATCTATATGAGTTCCAGGCCAGCCAGAGTTGCATCCAGAGACCCTGTCTCAAAGAAAAAAACAAACAACAAAGAAGACAGCTCTGCAAACTTAACAAAGTTGTAATTCATGACATTTATTTACCTTGAAAGTACTTGCCACACACGAGACAGGCATATGCATTAATATGTGAAAGGGAAATAGAACAGAGTTTCTCAAAGTCAAAGTCCAGCACACTCCTAAGAGAATCAAAGCACAACAAAGGAAAGGGAGGAAAAAAAAAAACAAAACAGGTTAATAGGGATGGATGTCTTGGAAGGTACCCAAATGAGGCAGTGTTATCTCCATGTTCCACAATGGCACATAGCATACTTCAAAAAATGGTTTAACAACATATAAACCACTTACCTCTACATAGCAAACACTTAGGCACGATCAAAGTATCTGCACCAAACACAAACGCTCTTTCTCGTTATGTGCAGTTTATACTTATCCATGGAATCTGTATCAGTTGATTCAACCAACCATGGATCAATATTTGGGAGAAATAAAAACCATATCTGTATTAAATACATACAGACTTCTGTCATTATTCCCTAACTTACAGTACAACAACTATTAATATAGCATAATACTATATTAGGAGTTATATTAATCCAGAAGAAATTTAAAGTAACAGAAAGATGTTCACAGATTATATGCAAATACCATCTCACTGTTTTACAAAGATTTGAACACCCAGACATTGGTATATATGGGGGATCTTGGTACAAGTCCCCCAATGGATAGGAGGGATAACTGTATTTGTAACAAATCAAAGACTTTCCAAGAACTCAATGTGTTGGTTCATACCTATAACTCAGGAGGCTAAAGCAGGAAGATCAAAAATTGGAAGCAGCTTGGGCTACATATCAGATTCCTATCTCAAAAAAAAACAAAACAACAAAATAAAAAAAAAACAAATTCCTAGGCTGGGCATGGCAGCACAGGCCTTTTAATCTCAGTACTCTGGAGGCAGAGGCGGGCAGATCTCTGTGAGTTCAAGGCCAGTCTGGTCTACATAGTGAGTTCCAGGCCAGCTGGGGCTATAGGAAAACCCTGTCTCAAAAAGACAAAAAAAATAGAAAAATAAAAAATAAGAAAAGAAAGAAATTCTTTATGATACTCTAACAGAACACCTGGGAAGCAGAAAGAAAGAAGAGGAAGCTATCTTTGCTATGCAAACAAATTTTGGCAACACTTCTTTGCGAATCCCATACCCCTGTTCTCAAGTGTGTCTTTCTTTCTTCTGTTATATTAAAATGTCATACAGCCAGGCGTGGTGGCGCACGCCTGTAGTCCCAGCACTTGGGAGGCAGAGGCAGGCCTGAACTCTGTGAGTTCAAGCCAGCCTGGTCTACAAAGTGAGTTCTAGGCCAGCCAGGGCTACAGGGAAACCCTGTCTCAAAAAGACAAAAAAAAAAAAAGTCATTAAACCCCAACTCTGCTTCACTAAAAAGAGAAACAAGCTAGGTGTGGTGCACACATTTTTAATCTCAGCACAGAGGCAGGTAGATCTCTGTATGAGGCCAGCCTGAGCTACATAGAGAGTTCCAGGCCAGTCATGATTACATAGTAAGACATGCTCTCAAAAAAAAAAAAAAAAGAAAAAAGTTTACTGGGGTCAATGAGATTACTCAGAGGATAAAGGCACCTGCTGCCAAACCTGATGACCTGAGTTTGATCCCTGGTACCCACACAGTGAAAGGAAAGCAGTGACTCCTGCAAGCTGTCCTCTAACCTCCACCCACACACACAAAAGTAAACAGAATGTTTTAAAAAAAGTTTTGCATTTTAAAAGTTTTATGCTGGATCCTGGGAATACAGGACAGTATCCAGTACGCAATGGGTATTCAATAAATATTTAAATTTACTACTGTTACTTTAAATACATTATGTATCCCCTTATTACAAAATACAAATTCAGAATTAGCTAAAAGGTCTTACTGCATGTGTCCATCATCAAACTGCATGCACCTAACACTTGTACAGCATACACTCTTGTCACTTTAAAGGGTCAATATTAATAACATGGCAAGAAGCACCAATTTTCTGGGCAAAAAGTTTAAAGGGAGTAAAATCCGTGAATATACTGTTCAGTGTGCAAACCACTGAGTTTTCCACATAGATTCCCTTTTTCTTTTACTGTACTCTGCATCTCAAAATCTGATTTAGTTTGGTTTTGTGGTACTAGGATTAAATCTACGACCTGTGTAAGTGGGGCAAGCACTCTATAGCTGAGATACACCCTCTGCATTTATTGTTTCTCTATCCTACTGACCTGTTAATGGTATCCAGGTATGGGCAGTGGCGGCTCCTCCGGTCCTCAGAATCCACACGGCCATTCTTTGCTGAAAAGAAAACCATTACAGGCTTTGAAAAATGGGAAACCTGTGCTAGGGATGTAGTGTAGTAGTACAGCACTTGCCTAGATGCGCAAGGATTGCTCCCCAGCATCACAAAAAGAAGGCAAGAGGCTATATGCAAACCACCAGTACAAAAACACATGGAAATGAGAAAATTAAATTGAGCATCCCAAAAAAGTCCACTAATGAGAACAAACCATAAATACAAGTATATGTTGACATGCACAACCTACAAGATTCATTTATGTATTATATAAAAGAATCCAGGGGGCTGGAGAGATGCCTCATCAGTTAAGAACACAGACTGCTCTTGCAGAGGACCCGGGTTCAATTCCTGGCACCCACATGGTGGCTGCGAACCATCCTTAACTCCAGTTCCAGGGGAATCCAAAGCCCTCTTCTGACCTCCGCGGTATTGCGAGTGCACTCACATACATGCAGGCAATACAATCAAATACATAAAATAATAAAAATAATAAATATTTTTTAAAAAATAAAAGAATCCAATGAGGCAGGAAAGATATCATGAATTATATCTCAAATGGTAAGATAAACTGTACATCCTTAAATCAATCACTTGTCCAAGACTGTGAAAGTTCTGAGTTAACAAGTTAGCCTGCCAGCATTTCATGGATGCTGATGGAAGGCAAGTGACCCACAGAGTCTAAAACAAAGGACAGTCTATTAGAGCAACAGCAATAGCCACAATATTAACACTGTCATCAGTTCCCAGAGTTAATTCTCACAAGAGTAAGAGAACCTGCACTCACAGTAGGTTGCCTTATTGAAAAACCTTGAGCTTAAAGAATCTGAACTTTCTCTCCTCTGAGATTTCCTCCCTTTTGTTCTACAAGCTACAAGGTAAAATGATCTCCACTATACAAACATCCTTTACAAGACAACAGGAAATAAAGGTCACCAACTGTGCAAAACCCAAGAGACAGATGAACTGTCTCCAAACTGATGAGCTGGTGTGTCAGTACTTTAATCAGATGCTCAGGGCTTAGAATCTTGGCTGAATGGTCTAATTCAGGAATTTACAAAAGGATCCCTCAACTTAGCTTTGCAAAAACAGGAGGGGGAACATCTGTAAAGTTGTTCACACCTGGCACATGTCGGCTATTTGATAAAGGGACGCTGATGGTGTCTATGACTTTGACTACGGTTAAAGTTAAAATTACCTTCATCTGGCCGGGCCTGGTAGCGCACATCTTTAATCCCAGCACTCCGGAGGCAGAGACAGGTGGATGGATCTCTGCGAGTTCAAGGCCAGTCAGCCTGGTCTACATAGTGAGTGAACTGGGGCTAGAGGGAGACCCTGTCTCCAAAAAAAAAAAAGAAAAAAAGACCAAATTATCTTCATCTGAACGCAGTCCATTGTGGACCCACCCTGGGGCAGGACAGTAAAGTTAGAAAAGAAAAAAGAAGGCGAACACGACACCGGGGGCACACGCCTGTAAAAGGAGACAGGAATACTGGGTATCCACCGTGCTCCTTAGTTACATAGGCAGTTCAAGGCCAGCCTGGGCTACATAAGACCCTGTCTCAAAAGAAAGAGAAGAGCACGCGAAGGTAGAAGGCGCCCCAGCCCTGCCCCGCGCACCTCGCACCTCCCGCTCGGGCTCCGAGTCTTCGTCGACTTCGCGCTCCCGCTTCACGCGCACTGCCGAGAGCGCGGGCGCCGGGGCCTCACGCGAACTCGCCGGCTCTACCTCCCGCTTCACACGCACCGGGCCGCTCGCCGCCTCGGGCTCCCGCTCACGATCTCGCTCCCTCTTGACGCGACCCGAGCTGCCCCGAGACTCGGACTCCCGCTTCCCGCGGACAGAACCACGAGACTCCCGCTTAGACCGGCTGGACATCGCCACTACGGGTGGAGAGATTCAGCTCAGGCGCAAGAACACTCGAGCGCGCCGCCCGTGGCCAATCAGGAGCTGAGCTGGAAGCAAAAACTAAGCCCGCTACGAGTCGCCGAGAGGGACAATTAACGCAGCAGGAACGCTATAGGCGCTCCGACACCAGCTGAGAAAGATGTGTGGGCCTACTGCCTCTTTACCCACCATTTATTTATTCACAGCTTAAAGAGATAGGAATCTTTCACAGGTTATGGTGTGTGTAGAATAAAGGAAGCTGTCATCCCACTCCAGATTTTTTCAAAACAGTTTGTCTTAAATCACAATACAGAGATGTTGTTCCTTTATTTCTACTGCCTGGAACGAGCTTCACAGGAAAAGAATACGCCGAAATTATTTCCCTCATTCAGGCTTAAACCTATGGCTTGGGGGCTAGAGAGATGGCTCAGCAGCTAAGAACACTGTTCTTGCAGAAGACCCGGGGTCAAATCCCAGCACCCACATAGCAGCTAACAACTGTCTGTAGCTCCAGTCCCAGGGGATCAGACGGTCTCTTCTGTCCTCCGCCGGCATTGCACGGGTGCACTTACAATACAGGCATACACATAAAATACAGGCATACACATAAAATAAAGATAATAAAATATTTTTTTAAACCTAGGGGTTTTAATTAATGCCATATTCAGAGGATTCTTGGTATAGGAAAAATACAATACTTCGTCAAGGTGCATTTAACATACTAATAAAACTGAGTCACACCCCAGTGCCTGCCTTTTTTAACAGTTCCACTGAGGTATAATTGATACACGGGACAATTGTACCTTTAACAACTGTAATTTGCTAAATTCTGATGTCTAAACACTTGTGAGGCCATTACCATAATGAGGAAAAGAGACCTGCCTCACCCCAGAAAGTCCTTGTTCCCTTAAGGAATCCCACCCAAACATTATAGTGTGTTTCCTAGAGTTTTATACTCAAGTGTCATAGAGTGTTTACTTTTTGGGCCCTGGTTTCTTTTATACCAGGAATCCATTCCCATTGTGAGGTGTATGAACAAGTGTATGAACAAATTGTTCCTTTACTTTGCATTGTAATATTCCATCACACAGATGTACTACAGTTTGTCACTGTTCTAATCAAGAGTTTACTTTCACTTTTTAAAGTATTTTATTATTTTTATTTTATGTGTATGGATGTATTGCCTGCATATAGGTAAGTGCACCTGTGTCATGCAATGCCGGCGGAGGACAGAGAGGCTGTCAGAACAGTTGCCATGTGGGTGCTGGGATCAAACTCAGGTCTTCTGCAAGAACAACCAGTATTCTTAACCGCTGAGCCATCTCTCCAGCCTGTTTTCACTTTTTAAAATAAGGACTTGAAAATTATACACTCAGACTGAGGCAGGAGGATTGCCAAAGTCCAAGGCCAGACTGGGCTAGTCAGTTCAAGACTGCCCTAGCTACATAATGAGACTCTGCTTCAAGACATAGGGGAAGAAAAGGAAGGAAGGAAAGAGGAAACTATATACTCTCAGATCCTCAAAAGCCTTGAGTCCACCCATGGGGACAGTTGACTGTGCAGACCCAATGTGGCTGGAGTAGGGACTGGGTGTGGGTGGAGAGACCCTTACTTGTGCCTTGCCTGCCCTACCTATTTGACTGCCTCATTAGAGACAGGTAATGCCCACTTAAAATTAAGGAAAGTTTTAGCTGGGTGTGGTGGCACACACCTTTAATCCCAGCACTCGGCAGGCAGAGGCAAGCGGATCTCTGTGAGTTCAAGGTCAGCCTGGTCTACATAGTGAGTTCCAGGACAGGTGGAGCTACAGGGGGACCCTGTCTCAAAAAAAAAAAAGGAAACTGGGCTTAGTAAGAATGCTTACTATGCAAGCATAAGAGCCTGAGTATGAATCTCAAACACTTAGATAAAAAGCTTGCAGCAGGCACAGAGTGCACAAGCCCATAACCCTAGCCTTGTGGGGGATGGAATCAGGATTGATGTGGCTTGCTGGCTGCCAGCCTAACTACTGACTCAGTGAGAGACCTTGTCTCAAAGGAACAGATGAAGAGTATAAAGCAGCACACCCAGCGTACTCTCTGGTTTACACAACACACACAAACACAAAGATAGCAATGTGAGAGGGTAATTGGGGGGAGACAAAATGTTCCAAACCTTCTCGTGCAGAATCTAGACTTAAATACATGGACAAAGCACAATGATGTGTGTGTATATATGTGTCTGCGTGTATGTATAAGAATGTCATAAGGAGCCCGGTATGGTGGCTCATGCCTTTAATCACAGCATTTGCAGGGCAGGCGGATCTTTGGGAGTTGGAGGCCAGCCTGGTGCGCAAAGCGAGTTCCAGGGCGAGTTCCAGGCCAACTGGGGATAAGATACAGGGAGACCCTGTCTCAAAAGATCAAAAGAAAAAAAAAAGTCATAATGAAAACATATATGCCTATAAGTCAAATTTGTGCCCCAGAAGTGCTGTTAGCGTGCTCATGGATGACTCGCAATTTTTACAATTCCTACAATTTACTGGTGTATCAGCTATACACTGGAATCCTCATTTCTTACGAAGAATGCAAACACCCACCGCTTTAGCGGTGGAAGCCGAGCCTACACGGAGCTCACAAATTCAGCGAACCGTAAGACTGCGACCGGAAGTCAAACTTCAGAGCCGGAAGTCCGGCTTCGCAGCAGCCATCCCTAAGACCGCCGGGCCGTTGTGGCCGTTTTGGTGGCTCTGCGCCCAGGACTCCGGATGGAGGCGGCACGGGATCCCGGCCCCGGGCTGTGCTGCAAACCCGGCGGGCGTCTGGACATGAGCCACGGCTTCGTGCACCACATCCGCCGGAACCAGATCGCTCGGTACCGCCCCGCCCCTGGCCCGGCCCGCCCCGGCTAAGCCGGGCCACAGCCCCTCACTCCCACTCGGCTCCCCACAGGGACGACTACGACAAGAAGGTGAAGCAGGCGGCCAAGGAGAAAGCGAGGAGGCGCCACACGCCCGCGCCCACGCGGCCCCGCAAGCCCGACCTGCAGGTGTACCTGCCGCGCCACCGAGGTGAGCCTCCGCCCCGCTTGCCACCCGAGCCCGCACGCTCCCTGCTCCCCCGGGGCTTCTCGGCCCCAGGCTAGGCTCCCAAATCTCCGCTCCAGGGCCCTGGGCCACCATTTAAGCAGCACGTTGACAGAAGGTATCTGGAAACCCTCAAAGAATCGTGGGCTACTTACCAGTGTGGGCTTTAGTATTCCTGCCACCTAGCAGAAAGTCTGGCTCAGATTTAAAAAAAACACCGACCTTGAGGGGGCAGGAGAGGTGGCCCAGCAGTTAAAGAGCACTGGCTACTCTTGCAGAGGACTTGGGTTCCCAGCATCCACATGGCGTCCAACAACCGTCCATAACTCCAGTTCCAGGGGATTTGATGCTCTTTCTAGAGTCAGCATTACACTCATGGATACACTTACATACATGCAGGTAAAACACTCATACACATTTTAAAAAATCAACTTTTAAAAAAACGACATAATAAGGAATGAACCCAGAAAACAAGCCTTTCCCTAGCTTTCCTTCGACCTAGAAATCACGGAAACGTGTCACTAAATTTGTTCATTGTTATTTACAGTGTTTAGATCTCGATTATATTAATTCAGTGGGTTGATAGGACTACTTAAGTTGAGAACTGTTATCTGTGTAATAATTTGTCCAAGATTTCAGAGCAAAGCCTGGATTTGAACCCAGGCAGAGCTCTGTCCACCATTCCAGTAGCTTCCAGTCCTGTTTACTGGAGAAATGTGCATTATGTACCTACTTTGTAACAGAACTAACTCTACTGGATATGTAAGGAGTAAAAATCCTGATTGGCAGTAATCCAAACACATGCATTGAGCAGGTACACACACACACTCACACTCACATGCATACCCAGGTTCTTTCAGAAGCATGGGGGCATTCTTTGTACTGTTTCTATTTGTTTTGTTTTTGTTCTTTTTGAGACAGGATCTCCCTGTAGCCCCAGCTGGCCTGGAACTCACTATGTAGACCAGGCTGCCCTCAGTCTCACAGAGATCCCCCTGCCCCTGCATTCCCAGTGCTGGGATTAAAAAGGCCTGCACCACCATGCCTGGCTTCTTTGCAGTTTTTATAAATCATTTCTGTGGGTGAGGGTTTCAGCGGCATTCTCCTCTTCATTCTCACTCTGGTTCATCCTTACAGATGTCTCTATCTACCCAGTCAACCCAGACTGTGAGGAGTCGGGGGAAAGCAGCAGTAGTGGCAGCTCTGAGCTGGAACCTTCTGGCCGCCAGCTCTTCTGCTTAGAATATGAGGCGGACAGTGGAGAGATCACATCAGTTATTGTCTATCAGGTATGCCTTCTGGAAATAGCTGCAGCTTGAGGGTTCTGGGCCATGATGGAAACCACTTCCAGACGCTGAGACAGAGTCTTAAGCTTCCTGACTCTTCCTCCATGTAGGATGATGACCCAGGACGGGTGAGTGAGGAGGTCTCAGCACACACACCTCTGGATCCACCCATGCGAGAGGCCCTCAAATTACGTATCCAGGAGGAGATTGCAAAGCGCCAGAGCCAACCAAATTGAAGCCTTTTATGCAGGATTCACTGCACTTGGAAGAATTCTGCCCAGTGAGCTCACCTCTAGTTTGGGGATGCCAGGACCAGTCTATGTGATCAGGGAATCCCCCCTCCTCCCCAAGCTGATACATCCACAATGGTGTTACAGAATATCTGGCCTACCTCCCAACAGCCATTCTTTCTTGTATATTAGTCTATTTGCCTAGCCTAACATTCTGGAACATTATGAGAACTTTGGCTAACTCTGTTCTTGGAGCAGAGACTTGAGGGAGATCCAAGGTTTATGAAGCCTTTTGCCCACATGCTGCTATCTTGCTGAGGCCCTCTGGCCTGCTGCTCTGTGAGCCATGTTTGTTATTTTGTGGTTCGTTCTTTCATGTTTCTGCTCACTTCTACCGGAGATTTCCCTAGACCTTTTCTTGGTTCTCACCCCCCCCCCCAATATCTTTTTGTCTTAGGTGGAATCCATCCCCCTGCCCTCCAAACATGACTGTTTCTCCACTACTCAGGAATTTGGAAATGGGGGTTCTGGGAGTCTGCCTTTCTAAATAAGTTCTCCGAGTAATTCTGATGCCAATAAAACAGGAGAACTTTGTTTTTGACTTGGAAGCATGTCTCCTTTCCCTTTCTTGGCTTTTCCAAGTTACTCACATGCCCCACTGCTTTGCACTGTCTAGACAGGAGACCTAGGAAAAAGATGCTGAACTAAGCTATAAGCAAAACCTGTTTTGGCTAAGCCTACCAAATTAATCCCTATCTGTGAACAGACTGCCCTCTGCTCAGACTAGAGGGGAATTTTCAAAACAAACTTGAAACTGACTCTTCCTTCAATGATGGTTCATCAGTCTTGGACTATTAAAGTTGGGAAAGTCAACAATAGCAATAATTGCCTTTTGTGGGGCTCCAGTTGCAAAAGAAAGGGTCCCAAAGAATGCCACAGAGGAAGTGAAGTGAGCCCGTCTCTGCTCCGTGCTTGCTCCTTTCCTACCTCCCAAGAATGTGTAACTTTTTCTAGCGTGGTGGTGCGTACTTGTAATCCCAGCACCAGAGGCCAAGGCAGGAGGATTGCTGCAGGTTAGAGGCCAGCCTAGGCTACAAAGCAAGACTCTGTCTCAACAGAAGGAATACATAAATGTTATTTAAGCCCTTTGGATAAAAATCCCCAAGGATAGCATTTTTCCAACAGGGAAATACTTTCCAACATAAAGATAGGCTAAAGTCTGAAGTCCACAAGATCCTGTGCACAGGAATTTGAAGGTGCCTAAGTTTTCCAGGAAATGAACCTAACCTTCAGCAACTTGAAATGTGGGTTTTAAGAGATCCAGTGAACACTGAGACTGCCTACAACCAAAGCCCCCTGGCCCAGACTGGGCCAGTCAGTCTGGCTATTTCATCTCAGCAGTTTTTCTCTTCAAGGATATTTAAGGGCTCTCTTGGGCTTTGTCCCATATCCCTGAAAACAGGACCCCTCCCCCAACCCCCAGTAATGGGGCAAGGCAGTTACTTTATGCCATTAAAACAGACACAGTGAGACAGCTAGCCATGCCAGAGGAATGCTGGGGCAACAAGTGAGATGGTAAGTTAAAAGGACCTGGTTGTGAAGGTGGCTGGGAACCAGAATGCATCAGACCTCAAAGCTGGCCCAGGGTTAAGTGCCTAAGCTTGTCAGTCCTGAGCCTAGTTCTGCTATCAAAGAAGGCCTTTGCCCTTGTACAAGTATGTTGTAAGTGCCTTTGGACTTACGGTTTCCTATCCTTCAAAGACTCCAGGATCAAGTAGATTCTGCCCAACTCCACCCTCTTCTGGCAGGTCATTTTAGTCTGTTTCAGTTAGTTGGCAGTTGTACAACCTGGAACATAGGACTCACTGGAACTCTTTGGCTACTTTTGGGGTCTGTGTTCTTAGAGCTGGGCTTCCTATTCCTGGTTCTATTACAGAACCTAGAAAAAAGACCCACAGGAATCTGAGGATCCAGCACCTAAAATTTCACCTCTACTCCCAATTCAGTATGTGCCTTTTATATTTTGTGTTACATGATCCTCACAAAGACCCTTTCAGATAAGGAACTGATGGAAACTCCTTACTTTTAAGATTTTTTTCTAGCAGCACTTTGCTTATCAAATGTGTATGAAATATTTCTGTCCAAGAAAGCACTCTTGATTCTTAGTTAACTTGGCCAATATGACTAAAGTTCCCCTTGTACTTAAGTGAGAACTGGTCCTTCTGAACTAACCTGTTGGAACTGATGCTGCTGTTTCTCTGGGCATCTTACAGTTTAGCCTCATTGTTCTGCCACCCTTTTCTAGGGTCCAAGATAGTACTGTCTAGTTTATTCAGCAGACCTGCCTCCAGACATCTACCTGTTTCAGAACTTGGTGTTTTGCCATCAAAGAGCATGACTTGAGCATTTTCACAGCTGGTAGTGAGGTCTCCGAACTGCCCTGTGCTGTGATGTGTGGGAAGCAGTGTTGGACTAGGTGGAACTTCCTTCTGTAGGTGGGACTTCAGCAGGTCTGCTTCACAAGCAGGACTCATTTAACTAGATGTGTTCTTGGCTGTCTTGGGGTTGGGAGTGAGCCACACATGCTGTAATCCCAACATTTGGGAGGCTGAGGCCAGAGGATTGCTATGAATTTGAGCCAGCCTAAGCTACACAGACCTTTTATCAAACAAAAATTTCATTCCCATTCTCTATGGAATGTTCTTAGACCCTCAGTTCTTTATTTTTTTTTAACTTTTTTCTTAAATTTTATTTATTTTTTTTTAATTTTATGTGTATGCATGTATTGCCTGCATGTAGGTAAGCACACCTGTGTCCAGCAGCCCATGGAAGCCAGAAGAGGCGGTCGGATCCCCTGGGACTGGAGTTACAGACAGTTGTTAGCTGCCATGTGGGTGCTGGGATTCAAACCCAGGTCTTCTGTAAGAATAACCAGTGTTCTTAACCGCTGAGCCATCTTTCCAGCAGACCCTCAGTTCTTAAGAGATTAATACTGGGTTGTACAGTTTTTTTTATTTCTGGGCTACAGTATATGACGTTAGTGATAGAAGGGAACTGGTTTGCAGGAGCCTTGGGCTGTGCAAGGGTAAATACTACAGCTGGAGTAATTGCCCACTGCAATCATGGAAGTCTTTGCAGAGTGTAATACAAGAAGGGAAAAGAAAGACATGTAGAGCCAGTAGGGTTTGTATTGGCTGCAGCCTAGGCAGTCTAGTGTGAATGTGGAAGAGCACCTGTGGAAGGAGCATTCCATCTCTCTGCTCATCTGGGGTGCACTGCCAACTAGAAATTAGCCCATAAAGTGCTGTGCATTAGGCAGGTTCCATGAATGTAGGAGTGGTGCTTCCCCAGCTGGCTCAGGTTTAAATAAGACCTTTGCTTGTATGAAGAAGAGTAAGGACAGATTACTCTCCTACTTCTGAGCCTTTTGGAATATTGACAATTTTTAAAGATTAACTTATTTGAATTCCTATTTTGTCCCTGAGGAATCAACATGGCCAAGGAGCCCTAGCTGTCCAGCCCAAATTTCCCTGGGAGTTGAAGTAATGTTAAAGTGAAAATCTTCCTAGTAGATGGCTCCTCTATGTTCCCAGAGCCAATAGAACAAAGGGCATACGTATATACTGGGAGTGGTAGTAAATGCATTTAGGAGGCTGAGGCAGGAGGATCACTGCACATTCAAGGCCAGCCTTGACTACACAGCAACATGGTGCTAACTGTGTAAAAAAAAGCCATACATTCTTTTTTCTTGTTACCAGTGTTTCTCTTGTGTAAATGAATAAAATTATGCAAATTGTCTGAAAATCATGGAAGGCACTTTTTGAATATAGTATTTTTTTAAAAACCAATAAACTATTTTTACAGCACTGTTTTTGCCAAGAGTTGTGAAATCACTTGTGTACTTGGGGAGGTGGAGGTTAAATGCCTACCCTAAAGTCATTCCACCACTGAATCAGCACTGGAAATCTCATCTCTTGCTGTGCCTGACTATTTTAAGTCTTGTCCTGGTTGGAGCATTAACAGCTAGACTCACGTAGCATTAGAGTTGGAAGAGACTTTTAAAGACATCTGGTCTTTCTTTTGTCCTATTCATTAGGGACTATACACTAAGAGTAATTCTGTTTTAGGGATTATTCAGGTTGATATGTTAAGCCTAAAAGTACTCTGGAGTGCTAATACCCCCACATCATGTCAGAAAAATCAGTAGAGCCTGAAGAGTCCTCAGAGGCCTTCACCCTGGTGATTGGACAGGGATACAAATGCAACTTAATAGGATTCAGTGAGTTAGAAACCATGAAGCAGTCATTCATGGTTGTGCAAGCTTGTAAACCCCAGTATTCAGAGACAGAGGCAGGATGATAAAGGGAATTGAGTTGCCCCCCCCCCAGGGGGTTGTCTAGCCAGGTGTGGTGCTACATGCCTGCTAATCAGACAGGAGGATCATCAGTCAGGTAGTCTGTACTGTCTCAAAAAACAGTAGCTTCCAATGATGGATCACAGCCCCTTTTAAGCATATAGAGAAAAGGTACAGCTGGGCATGGTGGTGCATACCTTTAATCCCAGCACTCAGGAGGAAGAAGCAGGTCAGTCTCTGTGAGTTCAAGGGCCAGCCTGTATTGGTCTACATAGTGAGACCAGCTGGGGCTACAGGGAGACCCTATTTCAAAAAGACCAAAAGAAAAAAAAAAATATGTGCTTAGGGCAGGAAATTTAGTTCCTCTGTATAATTGAAAGAGGCAGGTCTTTGCCCCTAAGGTCAGAAGCTGGGCTGGATTTTATACCCTCCACCGCTTCCCATCCAATCAGTACAGTGATCCTTGCATTGCACAGCCACACTTGGCCCTTCCTTCACTATGTCCTAACGTTAGTGGGAAAAGAACTCCAACATGTTTTCTGTTAACATTTCTATCTTCCTTTTGGGTCCCAAAAAGGTTTCTCCTGAAGCCACTGCACCAAGCTTGTTCTCTTTATTTAAGGTGCAGGGATCTTTGTGCACCTAACCTTTGATGTTAGATATTCTACCAGTCTGGGATCACGCACGCTTAGGGTAAAGGATCTTCCCGTAAATGGTCTTGTAGTCAGAGTCTGGCACACGTATGGTATGTGAACAGAAGTATCCATACCCTTTGGATCATGAATGTCTAGCTTGGTCTACAAATTAGGGTGAAACTGATAATTTATTCCTGCACAATCTTGTTTTCTCTTCCCAGATTTCCTCTAGGGTGTGTCACCTTCCCTCTACTAAGGAACATGGTGTTAATCTTTACCGACCCTACATGGCCACCTACATGTTGACAATGGTTATCCTTCAGTCTCTGAAACATCTTGGACTCGGTGACTTCTGGCCAGCATGTATTTGTATACCCCCTCCCCAAATTAAAAAGTATGATGGAAGCATCGCACCCCCAGAATTTGCTGAGCGGGGAAGCAAAGCCAAACCCAGAGCGCTAGGATTTCCTAAGGATCGGTCCAGGCTCTGCTTGTGTGGAGTGCCAGGCTGAGGGGCTTCCCCAACCATAAGCAGGGTGGCAGTCACGGGCGAAGCAGGCAGGCTGGCCTCCATACTCCCACCTCAGGAATGACAAACCCAATCGTCCTCTTGATCTTTGTGTCAGGTGTCCAGGCCACAGTCCCTGGCGCCCAAGTCCCCTGAAGTTGGGGCACCGCCCACGTTACCCCAGTGACGCAGCCAAGGGGGCTCGGGAGTTGTAGTTTCGGGCGGGGCCGGGGCTGCGGGACCGGGGCTGCACGGACTCCACGTCCCGGCGGGCGGTGCGGCGCTGCCAGGGGCCGCCAGGGGCGGGGCCGCTCGGCCCTTTAAACCTTTCAGGGCTGCTCCAAGGGCCGCAGCTGGAGACGCGGCCACGAGGGGGCTGAGCAGGCAGGGCGCGGCGGCGGCGGCGGCGGCGGCGGCGGCGGCGCGCGGCAGGGAGGTGCGTACAGGGCTCCTTTTCTCCTGGGGCCTCCAAGGGATCGCCTAGAGGAACCGGGAACTGGAGGAAAATGGTGATGCCTCTGGCTACGGACTCCTACACAAGCTGGGGTCCCTGTGCCCACGCGAGCGGGGACCGGGTCGGGCTTCCCGCGAGAACCCGCCCCTTGGCCGGGGCACGGTGGTCAGGTGGTTACCCGCACACCAACGCCTTGCCTCCGCTCTCCCAGCCCCGCGCACCCTCCCGGGCTTTCCTTGGCATGGTCCCCTTGATTGTCCTAGCTCCAGCCTTCCCCAAGCCCGTGTCCCTCAGACCGGGAAGGGTGGCTCTCTTTCCAGATGTCACAGCGCTGACTGAACTTCTCAGCGCCCCCATGGTATTTGGGAGGATCACGGAGGCCCCAGATGGATAGCCAGAGGGTGTCCACGTTCTGGCAGGGCTCAGCCCCAAGTTTGGACGCTCAAAGGCCCAAGGAGAGCTGTGAATGAGGTGTTGACCACCTTCCCCCTCCCTCCCCCGCCCTGGCCAGTCAACAGACCCTGGACCTTGATCTCTCTCCTTCACCAGGCCAGGGCAGCTGATGGTTGTGGCCGAAATATTTCAAGGTAGCTGGGCCCACCCCCTCTTCCCTACCTACCTGTTGTCCTTTCCCCCACACTACCACCACCCTGGCTCCACTCCCTCATGACCGCCTGGATCCTCCTTCCTGTCAGCCTGTCAGCCTTCTCCATCACTGGCATATGGACTGTGTGAGTAAAAGGGGTATGGGGTGAGGGAACCCCTACAGGAGCTTGATGTCACACACAAAGTCCCTTGTCCTGCAGACTTCAGAATGGCACCCACGGTCACTCTGGCTGTCTCCAAAGCCTGGCCTGATGCCTGGGCACACAGCCCCTTGGGACAAGCTGGCACCACTGTTGTCCAGCAGGACAGTTCCAACACATACTTCTAGGCAGGGCAATTTCCACAGGGCCTCTGGTTGTGGGCCATGCTACAGGGTCTGGTGTGTAGCATCAAGACTCACCTCTGCACCCCACCAAACCTGAGTCCCCAGCAAGGGCAGTGAGGCTGAATGAGGCAAGAAGTCAAAGTAGAAGAGCCAGTAATGGGTGGCTGGGCCTGGAGGGACATGGGGGCAGGGTGACGGTTCTGCTCCCACAGGTATGCCATGGCCGTGATGAACCGCCACGTGTGCCCAGTGGAGAACTGGTACGGAGGAGCACTCTGCAGATGGCCTCACTTTAAAGCTCCCTTCATCTCTGTCCCCTCTTGGGCCCACAAGCCAGATGGAGACCCTAGGCCTCACTGCTGTTCTGACAGTGGTCTCCAGGCATGGCTTCCTATCCATCTAGTCACTTCCTATCACCCCCCTCATCCCTTTGACTTCTGCTTCAGGCAGGCCCTGGAGAGGTCTGGAAGAGAGTCCTCTTTGTGGCCTGAGGCTACAGGCAAGGGTCTGGGGAATACTCCTTGCCCCAATCTACCCCACATCCTACTTTCCAGGTCCTACAATGAGTCCTGTTCTCCTGACCCTGCTGAACAAGGGGGCCCCAAGACCTGCTGCACCCTTGATGATGTCCCTCTCATCAGGTAGGTCCTGGAAATCAGGCAGGTCAAGGAGACCCTCAAGCAAAGGGCTGTCCCTGGGCCTCTAGAAGAAACATACTGAGCCAATTAATACTCCAAGCCTGGCCTAGTGGCAAAAGGCTGTAATCCCAGCTCTGGAGAGGTAGAAGCAGAAAGATGTGTACAGGGCCAGCCTGTGCTACATGAGACCCCATCCCAGAGAAGGAAATAAAAGAGGGAGGGAGGCTGAATAGTAGGTCAGTTAGCAGAATGCATATAAGGTCCTGGCTTCAGTACCTAGCACAATACTGGGTGTGGTGGCACATGCCTGCAATCTCAGCACTCCAGAAACAGAGGGAAGAGGATCATAAGTTCAAGGTCATCTTTGGTCATTTTGAGGCCAAAGAAATAATATCCTAATTGCCAGTTCTAGGAGCTGGGCATTCTGCTGAGTTTTATATGCCTGTAGTCTCTCTTAGTCGTCCCAGCAGGAACGGTCCTGTTGTTTTCACCTCTGTGAGGAAACAGAGGTTCTCATTCAGATCACAGTTAGCCAACGAAGTACCCGGACTTAAGCTAAACCCTCTGACTGCACAAGTTCCAGTTCAAGGAAATCCAGACCAGCGGCAGGCCCCAGCAAGATCTGCCAAGCACTCCAGGGCACCCCTTTATCTTTCCTATACATGAGCTCTGTTTTTGAGGGCTGTCAGCCCGTCTCATAAATCACAGGCTTGCCTGCTGAGGGCCAGGCACAGATACAGCAGGGCTGGGGTAGGGGCAACTGGTACTCCTGCCTCTTAATGTCCTCACCCTTCCGTTCAGCAAGTGTGGCACATATCCCCCAGAGAGCTGCCTCTTCAGCCTCATTGGCAACATGGGTGCTTTCATGGGTGAGTGATACCATCAGCCCCTGCCCCTCTCCATCCCCTGAAAAGCCCAGAAGCATTTACTTCTCATAGCCTAACCCACCACCACCAAAGGCTAAGGCAAGAGGGGTAACTTTTTTCCTGTTCATGGAAGGCCAGATGCTAACCTAATTTTTACACAGCTGCTCTGGTGGGGAGCCTGGAGGAAAAAAAAAACAACAAAATCCAGTTCACCACTAACCTGCCCATCCCCTTTCGCTTCTCAGAAGGGGATGGAATGCCTAAGCCCTGCAGGCAGCTGGAGAGCAGGCTGGGTGGGCGGGGTTGGAGGAAGGTGTTGGACTGGCCCCAGCATTGCTGTCCTCCCCCAGTGGCCTTGATCTGCCTCCTCCGGTATGGGCAGCTCCTGGAGCAGAGTCGACACTCCTGGGTTAACACCACTGCACTCATCACAGGCTGCACCAACGCTGCAGGCCTTGTAGTAGTCGGCAACTTTCAGGTGCCCCCCCACCCCCTAAACTTCCCTTAATAGGGTCTGGCTGCCTGCAGGGGCAGCACCTGGACATTGGTGGTCAAGGAAGGGAGGGGTTGGGAGGCAAAGGAGGGAGAAGGAAGAGGGAAAGAGATGAGATGGAGGGGCAGGTGGGATGGGGCTGTTTCATGGATTGGCCCCTCTGGGTCAGGTGGACTATGCCAAGTCTCTTCACTACATCGGAGCTGGTGTGGCCTTCCCTGCTGGGCTGCTATTTGTCTGCCTGCACTGTGTCCTCTCCTTCCATGGGGCTACCAACCCCCTGGACCTGGCTATGGCCTATCTGCGAAGCGTGCTGGCTATCATCGCCTTCATCACCCTGGTCCTTAGTATCCTTTTGGGATGGGGCAGTCAGGAACTTGTTCTAGATCAGCTGTCCCCACCCCTCTTCCACCCCCGCTCCCTCTCAGATGGGGGTGGGGACAGAATCTAGAGTCCAGCGACCTTATGGACTGCTGCTCCTTCACCCTGGCCTACTTAAATATCTGCAATTACAAAACAGGTGTTGCCAGGTTACATCCTACTAAACCTTTCCTTAGCCCCACTCCAGGTGGAGTCTTCTTCCTTCATGAGAACTCTCAGCTACAGCATGGGGCTGCCCTGTGTGAGTGGGTGTTTGTCATCGATATCCTCATCTTCTATGGCACCTTCAGCTATGAATTTGGGGCAATTTCTTCAGATACACTGGTGGCTGCATTGCAGCCTGCCCCTGGCCGGGCCTGCAAGTCCTCTGGGAGCAGCAGCACCTCCACCCACCTCAACTGTGCTCCAGAGAGTATCGCCATGATCTGAGGTCTGGAGGGTGGCTGGCCCGGCCTCCGCAGCACCCCTCCCCTTTCCTTCTTTGCATTTATTTTGTACCAAAACCCCCCCCAAAAAACCAAATACTAGAGAGTATTCTGTTGGGATCTAGGCTTCCTCGATCTTGAAGAAGTGACCATCCCACATCCACCCGTGCCATAGGGAGCAGGGCCCTGACAGTTGCCTCAGCTGTAAGCCCTATTCCCCCATACCAGAGTATTATTTTATGTTTAAAAGGTCATCTGTCGTCACTTGCCCAGCCAGCCCTTCAGGTGCCTTCTACTCCCAGTACCAGAGCCAGACCACTGGGATCTCCTGCTGCAGGAATTGGGGGGCTGGGAACAGCAAGGGAAGGGGATATGAGTCTGGATGGTGGGAGGAGCATGCCTTAGCCTAAGGGGGGCCCACCCAGCTGCACTGGGATTCTTCTCTGTCCCTTCCCTGAGAGCAAATAACACAGCAGAACCACATGGGTATTTTAGTACTTTTTTTTATATCTATTAAAAGAATTCTAATTTGCATGTTTGTAGTCTGTTGTGGAGAATCAGGAAGGGCCTCACCCAGTACTACAGGGATGGGAGGGAGCCCGTGCTTCCAGAGAGTCTTCAGTGTTCACTGCTAAGAACAGGGCTGCCGGGAACTAAGAGTGACAAGGGCCATCCAAACACACGGCAAGGGACTGGGCATGGCGGTAGGTGGAGGTACAGATCAGTAATCCCAGCACTGGGGAGGCAGGGGCAAAAGGATCCCAAGTTTGAGACCAGCCTGATCTATACAGCAAGTTTCAGTCCAACCAGGGCCACATAAGTGAGACTCAGTCTCAAAACAAACCCTCTGAAAGGCTTTGGCATACTCTCTGAGTCTAAAAGTCTAAAGAACTGGCTTTGCTTTGTAGTCTCCCTTCTTTCCCCTATCCAGTCTGGTTTGAACTTTGATTCCTTAATAGGGGGACTGTGGGGCTGGAACACAAAGAACAAGCTTAAAATGTTAAAAGTTTTCTCTGTAAAGCTAAAAAACATCCCCAGGATTCCAACATTAACTAAAGGTTCCAAGGTTAACGAAAGACTTCAGGAAGGGGGAGGTGAAAGTTAGTTTATCAGTTTTAAATACCTACAAAGTGTCAGGCCCTGACACCGTTTGCCTTCCAACCATGAACATGTTAGACCTTCCAAACCCTGGCTGATCCAGGGCCCCACCACCCAGAGTCTAAAAAGGCTAGCAGAGAGGGGATGCAGCCTGGCACCTGCTGTGGTTCAGCACCAGCTTTCCTATTAGCAGTATGGTGAAGAATGCAGGGCACCTGTGCAGCCTGTGAGCACTAGCCTCAGGGTGGGTAAAGAGGCCTTTAATGAAGATTCAAAATGTCAGAGGAAGATGTCCCAGAGGAAGAGCCATGAGAGCCTCACGTGTACATGGCCCCATGGAGGTTCTCCAGTCGGTGCTGCTGCTGCTGTTTTCGAGCCTAGAAGAGAAAAAGCCAACAGGCTAGACAGGGCCAGGCCTGAAGACCGACAGGTAGGGGTACAAAGCAACTGTCATGGGGCTGTTGTCAGGCCCCTAGCACATCAACAATGCTGAGGATCTGCTCACACAAAAGTCACTGGGAAGGTAGCCAAACTGAGGGATTTGGAGGCCTACCCAAGCCTGCTGAGGTGAAGTAAGTGCAGTGGAGGCGGGCTGATGAGGCCCATTATGGTCCCCTCCATAACCACCATCCCTACCTTGTCTCGTCTGTGCTCCTCATAAGTGTCATCATCAGTGGGCAGTTCATGCCGGCACAGGGGGCAGGAATTTGTCTAGGAAAAGTAGGGCAGTATTCCAGCCCCTTCCTGTTCCCGGTTCCCAACCCCAGCTCTGCCCTCCCTTGATCCCACCCATAACCAAAAAGATGCTTGAGAACTGGGGTCAGGGCCAGCTGAGGCCTGGAAGTACCTTACTTAGCCAGGGCAGAATGCAGTTGGAATGGAAGAGGTGATGGCATGGCATCTCAATGACAGTCTCCTCCTCCTCAAATTCCAAAAGACACACGGGGCACTTGAGCTCTGGAGAAGGGAGTGCAGATCAGGAGAGCTGCTAAAACCCCACCCCAACCTCCCACTTCCTCAAAGGCACTGAGACTGGAGGCTTGGAGGAGAAAGCCAGACAGGCCAATCTGCCCTAAAGGAATTAGTGTCCTCACCGGCCTGCGAGCTGCTGATGACTGTACGGGGGAGGGTCTCCACTACAGCCTTGGCAGCTGGTGGAGGCAGATGGTGATCCCAATCTACTACCAATCCCAAGTCTTCAAAGTCCATCCTATTGAAGAGTGATCTGAGGATGGTAGTGGAAGATGAGAACTATACTGAAAGAAAACCATACTTTCTTTTTGGTCCCCATAATCCACTGGCTACTAAAAGACAAATATTCACCCTGGCTATAATAACTATTCTTAGTACATAATAGTTGCTCAGTAGATAAAAAGGATGGTGGGAAGTGATGATTTATGGCTGCTAGCAGACAATCACAGCCCACTGTTTATACACTTTATACATGAGGTAGGAGGCTCACGGAAGTTGTTCAGGCCACGCAGGAATGACCTGGTGGAGCCAGACTGATTCAAAATCAGCAGTGGTCTTCTGTCCTTGCTGTTGCTAGCAAAATAGCCCCTAGCCGCCCCCGTGCCCCATCTTCTCCAGTGCCTCCCTCCCCCATTCCCCTCTTCAGCTTGGTCCTTCCCACCATTCCCTGGCCAAGTCTTTCCTATTGACGGCCCAAATTACTGACCTCGATTAATCTCATCGCTCAGAATAGCACTCGACATTATTCATCCATAAGCCCCAGAACCTGCTGCCCCAAATTCTTCGCCCTCTCCCGCCAGCCCGAACTCAGAAACCTGCTGCCCGGAGCCCAGGTCCACGCCCCGCGCACTCGCCTCGCGAGCTCCAGCAACATGCTGTTGCGGGCCTCCCGCTCAGGGTTCACCGGCTCGCAGTCGTGCTCATCGAAATAAGACGCCATAGCTCCCAGGCTGGGCCGGCTGTCTGACACAGCGTTACCGGCTGGAGCGCCGACTGCCAGCAGTGACCAATCATCGGACGAGTTTGAGAAGATGGCCAATCAGTATTTGAGAGGCGGGCATAGTTGTTGCTCGCCGCAAACAAAGCGGAAGTACTGATTCAGTCACCTCTCGTTGGTCGAGTGAGTCAGGTGACCAAAGCTAAAGCCAATCGAGTTGAATGAAGAGTAAACCCCGGGAGTTTCTTGCGTGGGGTCGCACGTGTTGCTCCGAAAGCAGAGCTCGCTCGACTGGTGGCGTTTGCCTTTAGTCCCAACAGAGGCAGCGGCAGGCCAATGGCTGTGCAGCTAAGAGCATTTACTGCTCTAACCGGACCTGAATTCAGTTCCCAGCATCCGCATCAGGTGGTTTATAACCACCTATAACTCAAGCTGGCCTCCACAGTCATTGCACTCACAAGCACCACCCCCATTCCATCCACACATACGTATGGACATAGTCAAAAATAGAGAAAGTTGTTTGTTTGTTTGTTTGTTTCTTTTTAAAGAAAGAGGACTGGAGAGATGGTTAAGAGCACTGGCTGCTCTTGCGGAAGACTCGGGTTGGAATTCCAGAACCCATATGAAGGCTGGCAGCCTGTTCCAAGGTATCGGATGCCCTCTTCTGGCCTCCGCTGGCACCGCATGGCACGGGTGCTTACATACAAGCAGGTAACACTCATGCACATAAAATGAAAATAAATAATTTTAAAATAGAGGCAGGTGGATCTCTGTGGGTTCGAGGCCAGCCTGGTCTACATAGTTAGTCCCAGGCCAGCTGGGGGCTACCCTGTCTCAAAAAGGCAAGAGGAGAGAGAGAGAGAGAGAGAGAGAGAGAGAGAGAGAGAGAGAGACTTGTTTATTTCATACACTTGACATTGAATTTCCCTTGCCACTCACATTTGAGTTTGAGCTACAGTTAAGTAACCCAGGAAGAAGGTCTTGGGGGACCTTCTTTCCTTCCAATAATTTTTTTTTTAAAGCACGGTCTTTTTTTTTTTTTTGGCCTTTTTGAGACAGGGTCTCCCTGTAGCCCCAGCTGTCCTGGATTCACTATGTAGACCAGGCTGGCCTTGAACTCACGGAGATCTGCCTGCCTCTGCCTCCCAAGTGCTGGGATTAAAGGCTTGCACCACCACCCCCGGCCACCACTTACTTTTTTTTTAAATGTTTTTTAAATTTATTTTTATTTTATGTGTATGAGTATTTTGCCTGCATTTAAGTGTGCATGTAAGTGTGCAATGTCCTCAGAGGCCAGGAGAGGACATCAGATCCCTGGAACTGGAGTTTCAGTCAGTTGTTAGCTGCATTGTGGGTACTGGGAACTGAACCCTGATCCTCTGCAAAAGTACCAGTGCTCTTAACCACTGAGTCATCTCTCCAGTCCCTCCCTTTTTTTTCTTTTACATTTAGTATGTGTGCGTGCATGCTTATGTGTGCCATGACACATGTGGAGATCAGAGGGCAACTTTCATGAATTGGTTCTCTTCTTCCATTGTGTGGGTCCCAGATACCAAGCTCAGGTCTTCAGTCTTGGCAATAAGCACCTTTACCTGCTGGACCATCTTGCTTTTATGCATTATCTCAATACATAATCTTTATTATTGCCCTGAAGCCACTAGCTTTGTGGGCCTGTGTGGCCCTAGAGCATTGGAATGCCTGCATTCTACAGAAAAAAACTCCTTTACAACTAGGCATACAGCATCATAGAAGTCTTGAGGTTTTCATGTGTATCGTGGTGTATTAAAGGAAGAATGTGGGCTGGATGGCTCAGGAGTTAAGAACACTGGCTGTTCTTGCAGAAGACCTGGGTTCGAATCCCAGCACCCACACGGCAGCTAACAACTATCTGTAACTCCAGTTCCAGGGCATTGACAGTCTCTTCTGTCCTCCTTGGGCATTGCATCACACGGGTGCACTTAACCTACATGCAGGCAATACACACATACACAAAAAAATAAATAGAAATGTATAAAAACTTTTAGAAAATAAAAAATAAAGAACACAGATACAGACTAAGAAATTAAGGCAGGGAGGGTTCAAAAGGACAAAGCTCATCATGGGTGAGAGCCTCATGAAACATCTCAGAAGCTCTTTCCTCCTCATTTTTTCTTTTCAATGTGTGTACGTGTGTGTTCATGTGGATGCATGTGAGTGCACCTGTGTGTAGAGGCCAGAGGTCATCCTCAACTGTTGTACCCTCAGGAGTTGTCTGCCTTATTTCTTCAGATGGTGGCTCACCATCCAGGCTGGGCTGGATGGCTTCTGAGCCTCAGGGATCTGCTAGTCTCTACCTCCAAGTGCTAGCTGGGAGTACAAGTGTGGCACCACACCTGGCTTTTTTTTTTTTTTTTTGCCAGGGTTTCACTGTGTAGCCCTTGACCTGCCTAAAACTCATTATGTATATCAGGCTAATCTCAAACTCACAGGGATCCACCTGCCTCTTCCTCTTGAGTGCTGGGATTAAAAGTGTGCACTGTCATGCCCAGCTCACCCGGCTTTTTTTTTTAACATGGTTTCTGGGGATGGTAACTTAGGTCCTCATGTGTTTGCAAGACAGACACGTTATGGACTGAGCTATCTCTCCAGCCTTGTTGTTTTGTTTTTTGCTTTAAAATTTTTATTATTGCTGGGCATGGTGGTACATGCCTTTAATTCCAGCACTTGGTAGACAGAGACAGGTGGATCGCTGAGTTCAAGGCCAGCTTGATCTACATAGTGAGTTCCAGGCCAGCTGGGGCTACAGGGAGACCCTGTCTCAAAAAGACAAAAAAAAATTATTATTTAGCCTGGCATGGTAGTGCACACCTTTAATCCCAGCACTCAGGAGGCAGAGGTAGGCAGATTTTTGTGATTGAGGCCAGTCTGGGGCTATAGGGAGACCCACCCTGTTGTCTCAAAAAACAAACATTCATTTTATTTTTTAAATTATATGTATGTATGTCTGTGTATGTGTACATGAATACAGATGTCCATATAGGACAATCCCCCTGGAGTGGACTTAAAGGTGGTTATAGCCTTGAACATGGGTGCTGAGAACCATTTCTCCAGTCCCTGCTTTGTGCTTTTGAGACAGGGTCTCATATAGCCCTAGGTGGTCTCAAACATAGTCGAGAATGACCTTGAACTCCTAATCTCCTGCCTCCACCTTCTGAGTGCCAGGACTACAGGAGTGTGCCATCATCAAGCCCGGAGCCATGTACACACTGGGCAAGCGCTCTATCAACTGGTCTCAACCCCAGCAAGTCCTTTCTTCTTTCTTCTTCCATCTAGAGTTCCATTGCTCCTGGAGATTTCAGTTTCATGGAAATAGGCTTATGGGTTTGGTTTTTGGACTGCTGTGTTCCTGTCACCACATTCCAGAAAGGTCCTTTGTGTAGGACAGAATCAAAGAGGAACAGAAAAGGAAGGAGCTGTTTCCTGGGGTATAGTCCTTTGGGTTATAGTTTTCTTTTAATTCCTTAAAATTTTTTCTCTACATTTATTTGTGTGGGGGGGGGATGTGCATGTGCTTATATACATGTGCCATGGCATATGTGCAGATGTCAGAAGACAACTTGCAGGAGTTGGCACTCTCCTTCCACCATGTGGGTCCTGGGGATCAAACTCAGGTTATCAGGTTTCATGGTAAGTGCCTTTATCTGCTGAACTGTCTTGTAGGTCCATTGGTGACAGGTTTTCTGAACATCCCCAGAGGTGGAGGCAGAGGAACAATTTGAGGACTGTCACACACACGCACGCACACACACCCACCCACACCAGCTTTTAACCAAACAGCAGCTTTTACTGGGCTCCAGTGGGGTTGGCCTGGCAGGGCCAGTGCAGCAGGCTGCCCTCAAGGGCCAGTCTATGGCATGACAGGACATGCAGAGTTGCACACATCCAGGCTGCCCTTCAGTGCTCACTGGGGTGGCTCAGACAGGAGCAAACACCAGGGTTCTCTGGAGACCAGAACAAGCCAATGCAGTCATTGGGCCTCTCCTCTAGGCCCAGCTGGGTCAGTCCCCAGTCCCTGAAGCAGCGCCTGCAGCCTGGGCCTATGGTTTACTACTGTCATTGCTATTCGGAAGAAAGATGACAAGCAGTATAATCAGGATGATGAGCAAACCACCAGCCACTGCCAGCCCCAGGTAGATCCGGCACCGGATGTTCTCCCAGCGCTTCTTCTGGGCCAGGGTCTTGGTTGTCTTGCTGAAAGCTGAGCTCTGCAGATGCCCAGAGACACAGAGAGGGAGTTAGTGGTTCCCACAGGCCCTCAAAGCTGTTCCAGGAGGAAGTGATCTGCATCCTCCCCACCATGTCTGCTCCCTCTCCACTCATTGTGCCCTCCCAGCCTAACTCCTGATTGCAAACAATGGGTGACTCTTGACTATCAACGCTGCTAGCTCACAACCACTTAGCAATGCCAGTCCATGACCTCTAGGACTGTAGATATCCACAGCCCACAGATATCTTTTTTTTGAGACAGGGTCTCATGTGACCAGTGATGGCCTCCAACCCCCTGTATAACTGAGAATGATCTTGAGTTCTTGATCCTCCTGCTTCCACCACCTGAGAGTTAAGATTACAGGTGTGTGCTATTGTGCAAGGTGTACATGGAGCTGAGGTCTGAATGCAGGGTTTCATGCATGCTAGGTAAGCACTCGACCAACTGCGCTGTAGCCACAAACCAAAGCCGTGAAGCCTACTTGTTGTATGTACAGATAGGAAACCCAGAAGTTTCACACCAGCTGGTAAGCAAGCAAGCTTGAGACCTCACCTAGGGCCTAGAAGCCCCACTCTGCCTCCCCATTAAAGCCTAAGGGCTCCCTCTAAGGACCACGTCTCTCCCCTCCCTTCCAGTTCCCAGGGCCACACACCATATCCAGGAGCTGGTCTGAGCGTTGCTCCAGCTCTGCCAGCTTCCCGTCCCGCTCCAGGACCTTGTCAAAATTGTTGAGCATGATTTCCGTCACTTCGTCCGCCTGCCGCTGGCATCGCTCCAATTCTTTCCCTGCCTGACAACCAAGCCCAAGGTCAGGGCTGCATGAGTTCCCCACCCAGTCCTCATTTGACACAAACACCAAAACCTCCCCCTCCCCTACAATGCCCAGGTATGGCAGATGAGTAACAGCATCCTTAGAGTGGAGGTGTGAGGTATGTAGGGTAAAGGTCTGGCCTGAGTGAGTGCTGCCTGCCTTGGAGATCATAGGCTCCTTCATGTAATCATCAGCCCTGGCTTCCTCTATATTACTCCTGAGTGGGATCTTTCCCAGGTCCCCATCTTCCTACAAAGCAGACATCTTTCCCACCTGCCCCAAGATGGCATCTATCCAACACACACCTGCCCTATGGCTTCCTGCTGACCTCAGGAGGAGGCAAAAATCAGACAGGGAGCAAATCCATTCACTCTACAGGACTAAAATGGTTATTTGAGACTGGGTGGCATCAGAGTCTCTGCCTAGACCACACCCCACCCACCCAAATGAAGCAGCTCAGATATCCCCCCTTGGACCTCTGACAGCTTCAGGCCAGTTCTGTCTCCTAGCTGACCTTAGTGACTACCTTCTACTCCTCTCTTCCGGGGAACCTCACATTCCCTGGCCTCTAGGCTCCAGACTTCTAGTTAGAGTGTTCACTGGGATACTAGTGATAATCCTTGGCTCCCCAGCCTGGGCAGCATACCTCCAGCTAACCAAGAAAGCTAGTTCACTTTGAGGACTGGGAAGAGAAGGGCTCAAATCTCAATCTGGGCTAGGTGAGAGGATCAGAGAGAGGGAAAGAGAGAAAAGAGAGGTTGAGAGGAAGAGGGAGAAAGAGGAAAGAGAGGAAGAGGAGCTGGAGAGAGGGTTCAGCAGTTAAGAGCACTGGCTGCTCTTGAAGATGACCCAGGTTTGGCAGCCACATGGATGATCCACTTGGAACTCCATGGCAGATCCACATGGAACTCTAGTTCCAAGGGATCCGATGCCCTCTTCTGGCCTTCACAGGCATTGCACACACATGGTATACTTACATACATGCAGGTAAAATGCTCATACACTTAAAATAAAAATAAATAAATAATAAACATTTTTTTTGTCTTTTTGAGACAGGGTCTCCCTGTAGCCCCAGCTTGCTTGGAACTCACTATGTAGACCAGGCTGGCCTCAAACTCACAAAGATCCACCTGCCTCTGTCTCCCAAGTGCTGGGATTAAAGGCGTGCGCCACCACACCCGGCATAAGTAATAAATTTAAAAAAAAAAAACATTTTTTTAGGCCACAGCAATTCCCCCCCCTCAGCCTAGCCCTTCCCAGCCCATCCCTGTTCTGTCTCCTTCTCACAAAGTATCAGCCACCCTCCCTTTCCTGCCAGCCCACGCCATATCACCTATTGTTTGCAACAGACATTTTGGCATTTGACTGAATTAAAACCAGAGAATTTGTGTTGGAAGAGATTGTGTGGTCACAGAGGACCACCTCCTACTCAGGCAAGATTCTTCATGCAGGATCCTTGCAGCTGTCCTGTACTCAGCTGTCTCGGAGCACTCCCAGTACATGAATCCTCAACTAGACCACAAGCTCCCACAGGAAGGGCAGGGGCCTGTGCCCTACTTTCATCCTCTAGCATCTGTAGGCCAACACAGTGCTGACCACTGCAAGGACTCAGTGAGGAGGTCAGTTACTCTACAGCCTATGCAAAAGTAATTCTCAATCTCAAGTGATGTGCGCTCAGTGTGCTTATCTAGCACAGTGGGAGTTTCGAGGGGTAGGCATCTGAAACCCAAACAGGTCAATGTTTACCCAAGAGCTAGAAAAACAACCTGTTTCAAGAGTGGGGCAGGTAACCCAAGGAGGTCAAAGGATGCTTAGCTGCTGGGGAACACAGGGGAACAATGAAGAGAGCAGGAACTTCATGCCCTCTCCCTTTTCCTGAGTCACTTGTCATGGCTACTGTACCATTCCACAAAGCTCCATTGTTTGGCCCTTTGAACTAACTTTCCGGCATCCCAGTACTCCAAGACACAAACTTGGAAACAGACAAAGATTCAAAAATGAGAATCACTGCTAGCAGTTGATGAGATGCTGGTGAATATTTTCTGATTTATTGTTATCATTTTATTATTAGGGAGCATGTGTGTGGAGGTCAGAGGACAAATCTGTGGAGTCGGTTCTCTTCTTCCATCATTATGTGGGTTTGTGGGTTGGGGGGGATTGAACTCATGTCACCAGGCTTGTGCAGCAAGTGCCTTACCCACTGAGCCATCATGCTGGCCCTATTTTTCTGTTCTGTGTGTGTGTGTTCAGTGTCTGAGTATGTGGTGTATGTGTACATGTGTGTGCTAGTATACCTGCCCTGTATACAGCCAGAAGCCAAGGGAGGATGTCAGTGGTCTTGCATAATCATTTTCTGTCTCATTCCTTTGAGACAAGGTCTCTCAATGAACCTAGAGTTAGTCTGGCAGCCAGCAAGCCCCAAGGATACTCCTGTCTCCTCTCCTTCCCTTCCCCAGGCTCTGGGGTTACAGGCATGTGCAGCTATGCCCAGCTTTTTACATGGGTTCTGGATATTCAGTCTCAGGTTCTCATGCTTGTGTGGCAGGTGTTATTACCTACTGCATACCCCATACCCTTTTATTAAAATAAAGTCTTATGTAGCCCAGGCTGGTCTCCAACTCACTATGCAGCTAAAGATGACCTTGAACTTCTGATCCTAGTACCTCCATCTCCCCAGTGCTAAGATTACAGGCATGCCCCACCACACCCAGCTTATGTGGTGCTAGAAATCAAACCCAGGGCTTCATGCATGCTTAGGTAAGCACTGAGCGTCATCCTCAGCTCTATTTTTCTGTCCTGAATGCTACAGCTGCTGTTATCTTATTCCCATACAAGGGGTAACACAGGATCACATTCTGTAGAGAGCTGACTATGCCTCCAGCTGCAATCTGGAGCCTCTTTCTCCACGGTGAAGCCAGGCCTATCCAGAGCCAAGATGGGCCTAGGGCCTAAAAGAACACATGTGCTCCAAGGAACACAGAGCCACCAAGTCCCAGCCCTCCTCAGTCTCCCTCAGCCAAAGGTGAAAGGTCTCAAACTATAGACACAGGCCTCTACTGACAACATGAGAGGTAAACTGCTAGGGAAAGAAGGAAACAGCTGAGCAAACAGAGGGCAAGGGCCGGCACTTGTAATGCAGCACAGTATCTGACAACTGGTAGACACGTGAGATATTTTCTCAATGACTTGTGCCTAATTTCAGGGAGAGTCTTCTCCAGCTGGGGAAAAGAAACATGTGACACCACTGTGCCAACAGTTCCACTGTGACATAAAATGTCCTAGCAGCCCATGGCATGGGTAGATTCCAAGGGTCAGAACTGTAACTGAAAGGGTGGATGATAAGATGGACTTGGGTCATTCTGGCAGGGAGAGACAGGGACACAGCCTACCAGTGAAGAGACCAGGCAGGGCAGGGCTGGGGAAAGCAGCAGAAGTCAAAGGGTGGAAACTAGCTTGAAGGGAATGATAATACTCATGTGCTGGCATACACCTGTAATCTCAGCACTCAGCCTAGGCTACACAGTGAGAACTGTCTCAAAAACAAAACTGAAGTGTCAGGTGTGGTGACACATGCCTGTAATCCCAGTATTCTGGAGGAAGAGGCAGGTGATCAGAAGTTCAAAGTCATCTTTAGCTACATAGCAAGTTCTAGGCCTGCTTGGACCACATGAAATTCTGTCTCAAACGACAACAAAAACAAAAAAGTAAGCAAGCAGACAAAAAAAAAGGGGAGGGGGATGAGGGCAGACTGGAAAGATGGCTCCGTGGGTAAAAGCACTTTGCTGTGCAAGCTGAGAACCTGAATCTGAATTCCAAGCACTCATGTAAAAAGCTGGGTGTGGGACCGCCTGGTGGTACATACTTTAATTCCATCTCTCAGGAGGAAGAGGCAGGAGGATCTCTGTGAGTATGAAGTCAGTCTGATCTACATAGTGAGACCCTATCTTGGAAAGAAAACAAAACAAAACCCCAAACCAAAAAAATCTAGAGAAGGCTATATGCCCCAATAACCCTAGTTCTGGTGGTGGACAGAGACAGGAAGAACAGGGGGGTTTACTAGCTCTAGATTCAGTATCTCAAGGAAAGAAGGCAAAGAGTAATAGATCAAGACATCAATATCCTCCTCTGGTGCTCTCTCTCGCTCTCTCTCTCTCTCTCTCTCTCTCTCTCTCTCTCCCCCCCTCTCTCTCACACACACACACACACACGCACATGCACATGCATGCACACAGTCAGAGCTGGCTCAGATTTGAGCCAAGGGTAGTCATGGAGAGCTTCAGGCTCATTGCTCTATTAGTGATAGACAGGAGTAGATGGAAGTGAGAGGTCTAGGCAAAGGCTACGCAGCAGGGTGAAGTGTATCAGCAAGGGTATAAGGGTGTGAGAAGATGCCCACCAGGCCAGGCCCGCTGGGGACAACAGAGTGCAGAAAGGAAGAGTAGGTGAGACAGGTATTTCTGAAAGCTGCCAAGAACCTGCAGGGCTTGGGGTTTTGAGCCAGTAGGAAGGTAGGGGCTGGAGCCTGGAGGATGGGCAGTGGTTGCCAGAGGGTGGCAGTTACACAGGAAATGTTCTTGACAGACTGTTACTATCTGTACAGAATATCATCTAGAACACACACACACACACACGCACGCGCGCGCACACACACACACACACACACACACACCAGCTGGAGATTGAACTAGGCCACAAACACAAAATGAAGGCAAGTGTTCTGCCAGTGAGCTACACCCGCAGCCCTTGGCTCCTCTGAAAACACAGCTCTCATAATCCTCCCTATTAAGCTGAGAGTGCTCAGTGTCAGAGAACTTACCTAGTATTTGTGCTTATAGGTTCAATCACCAACATCACAAAAACAAAACAAATCCTGTTGCCAGGTAGGTAAAGCACACCTGTAGTCCCTGTTCTCCATATTCAGAAGGCTGAGGCAGGAGGATCACTTGAGCCTATGAATTCCAGCAACACAGTGAACACAG